CCCCTAGTATAACTTAAAGTTCATACTTTCCTACCTTGAAGCATCTCTTAAGACTACTTAAGGCATAACATTTCACAATCCAACCTTAGGATCAATTCTAACAACATTTCATTTTAATGTCCAACTAGTATCTTAATACTAGTCAAATTAATTCCAACAAACCAAGTTCTCAACTCATAGTCATATAGACAATTCCAACTGATTTTTCCATTGAAAATATCATTTATCTCAATATTCAAAATATCACTTTTAACCACTCATATATTCTAATACGAAGTAAAAAGTATATTTCAACATATGTTTCATAATTAATTCCACTTTCAAGTCAACATACTCATAACACATGATCATACACAATTTAGTCTTAAATTTGTATATCATGCTCCTTTTCTTTATAGACATTAGTCTTCTCATTCTTAGGCATTATTAATCATTAATAATCCATAAAAATACATTTAATTACCTCAAGTAATCTCATGGAAATAACCCACTAATTATAAGCAATATAGTCAGTCATCCTCACCTTATGATGTGCTGAAATAGTTGCCTTTGTTAAGCTCCCCGATTAATCCTCGTTTTAAACCGATAAGAAGGCAAAACTGGACTGCCTGGACAAAAGCCGGGCGGCTTTCACGAAAGCCGGGCGATGTTCGTCCTCCTGCAACACGAACAGCTTCCTATATGTGGCGGTTTCCGGCGATTTCGACTCCTATCGATTCACCAACTCTTCTAAGTTAATTACCACCATTATATATCAACATTCTACACTTTTTAAACGTGTAGAACTTCATGTTTACTCCACCATATGATTTCTTGAAAATCATACAACATAAACTAGTTAAAAGAACTATTGGTGTTCTTACCTCAATGCCTAGCTTTTTCTCTTTGGATTTCCTTTCTTCTTGCTGGCCTCAAGCTCCAACCTTTGTGAGAGACTTCCTGAAGTTTATCCTCTCCTTGTGAGGTACGAATGAATGCAAGGAATAGGGGGATGGCATCAGATTTTCAATCAAAACCAATGCACATGCATTGAGAGGACATGGGGGGTATTTTTGTCCTTAGGAGGCTTCCTCCTCCTTAGGTCCGCACACACACATCCCCTCTTGCCCCTTCCAGCTCTCACTCAGTCAAATAGAGCACATAAAAACGTGGGGTGGCCCCCACTCATGTGGGAGGTCATCCCATTGTGTCCCGATGTGTATAATCGGCCCCGAAAGTTGTATTTCTCGGACCGTTTTAATCATATTTTATTTTATTGGGCCAAATAAAATATATCACGCGTTCCTAATACTTATGGGCCTTTAGAATAGATGTACATTCCACAACATTGATTTAGGAGTCTCCGAAACTCATTTCGGGCTGTTATCCGCTAAATTACCAATAACGGTAATTGAGCCTCGTTTGACCCACCGGTCAATTCCATGGCCTTCCCGTGGCCCAAATAAAATATCCACCACCATGTAGATGTTGTCTAGACCAAGATGGATATAATATGTGGTGCGGGAATTATCGGGCGGTCCCCGTTCCCGCTTTGGGCCCCACGTGTAATTTACTATTCACGCAAAAGAAATAATAAAAATTCACAATCACGCAAATTCTTAAATCATCCTTCAAGGTTTATTACATAATTTACTAAAAGTAAATATGCTCGGGGTCGGTGTTACAGAATGAGAAGGGCCTCAAGAAGGAGAAGGAGTTGGGGAAGGAGGAATCTGCTTGGAGAAATTGTAAAAACCTTTTTAATTGATGTTGCATGATTATACAAATAATTTTAAAATTTGAAAATGTTGACTTTTACATTTTAAAAAATTCACAATTTTAATCTATATTTATTCAAATTAAAACAAATTTTTAAGGTTTTTAATAAAAAGACATGCTATTACAGTAAAAAACAGTTGAAATGGTCAGATTGGTCAATTTTTTAAAGTATGTGTACTGATATGATACTTTTTAGGATATGGACTTAAGTCATGGATTTAAAATAGTAAAAGGATTTATTTGACTCTTTTTCCTATTTTTTTCTTCCAAAAGTTTTGATGTTTTTGTCACTTTTCCTAAAAACATGCTGTTATGCATGTATTTCATATTTAGTGTAAATGTATATTATTTCTTCTCTTAAAATGAAGTTCTGAATTTGACATACACAAATATTTATGCAAGATAAAACTTTATTTTGACTTTTTAAATATGCCCTTGTTTTATCTCAAATCAAATAAAAATACTCAAAAATAATGGTAATTGTGACTTTTTAGTTTGGAAGTAAAAGACTTACTACTTCTGTCCCATATATATTAATTGTCATGTTTTAATTTGACGCGATTATTAATAAAGTTGTTGAAAAACAAAAGTTGTGGTTAAGATTTGAGTAGAATAAAGTGAAACCTAAGGATCGCATATTTCTTGTCAAAAAGGAAATAAGACATTTATTTTGGTACAACAAACAAAGGAAAGTAGGACAAGCATAATGGGACGGAGTATAATCTCATTTTTTACATTGATTGTTTTAATTAATTTTCTGAATAAAAATATTTCCCAAGTATTGAGTAACTATATTTTATCTATATGGAACGTCAATAATAGTCCATGACCCACTATCACATGTCAATTGTAAAAAGAAACTAAGTGTATTCTTTTTTTTAAAGAAAAAGTGCAACAAAAAACATTTAAAATATTTATTCTTACAACATACGGAGTATTTATTTAATTAAAATAATGGTGTAATCCAATGGCTCCTATTCATTCTTTTTTCTCTCCTAAGATCGAATTCTCACATGATCCTAAATCTTTTTTTTAATAAAAATAAAAATAAAAATAAAAATAAAAATAAAAATAAAGCGAAAAAAAAAGTACAAATAATACTCAACCCAAAGTCCTCATAAGATGTGATCGTTGATTCTTCTTCCTGTATATTTTTCTTTGAGTGTTGAAATTCCCAGTAGGCAATCAATTTTCTCTCGTCACAAACAAAGCTTTTTCACAAATATTCCGATTTTAATCTGAATCCCAAAGGTCATCAAGCGTCCAAATAGGAACTCTCTTCTCATTCTCTGAGATGTGACCAAGAAATTCATCCCCTGAATATGTATCAAAAGGGTCACCAAAAAATCCCTCAAACGTAGAAGCTTCGTGATCATAGTTGTGACCAATTGTTGGCTCTGGTGCCTTTAACTTCTCATGAGCATCTTCCTTCAATTTTAAATAGAAACTAAGTGTATTCGTTTAATATTCTGAATTATGCTCGTTCTTCTTTTATTAATCCCAACCATCAACTCTTGTTTTATTTATAAAAAGTAAAAATAAATATTTAAATATCAGTTTTGAATTATATAAATGAAAGTTTAACTAAATTTGGAAACACATTATTGCATTTTATAAATACAAAATGATACATTTTCTTTTATAATTTCATTTTCAGAATCTTTTTGTAATTTTTGATAAATTAATTTTTAACTAATTTAAAATGATTTAATATTTTAGGATACTTAGCTTTTAAATTTTTGAATATTTTAAAAACAATATTAGTATTTAAGTATTTTTATCTTTTGCACTTTCTTAATTTTAAAAGTCAAGTTTTTAAGCTTTTTATTGTGAATTTGTACTTATTTTGAATTTCATTTTTCCTTTAAGGTTTTATATTGTCCTTTTTACTCGTTTTCTTTATATATTATATATTCGTTATACATTTATAATATCTTACATGTTATGAAATTTTGATTTTGAAATTTATACTACATCCACTCTCTTTTAAATGCGACATTGAAATTTTTGCATCGTTCATATGTTCTACTTTGACTCTATTTTATTTATTAATGTATTATAAATTAAATTTAAAAAAATATTGTTAAATTCCTCTCATTTTAAATTTTCAAAGCCTAATTATTTTTAATTTTCTACTAGTAAGGAATGAAATATATTAATGGTCAAACTTGTGAGTTGACAAACGTGAAAAGTGGACCGTTGCAATTTAAAAAGAACGGAGAAAATATAAGATTTTCTATATTCTATAATTATATATTTTATATTCTTTAATTCCACAAACTACCTAAAAAGTTAATGAAGTAAAAAAAATTATAATCTTTTGACCCTTTTTATATATTTATGGAAATTTTAATTTTAGTTTTTGGGTCCAATAAAAGTCGACATATGATAGTTCGGATTATTATAATCTTATACGGAGTATTTCTTTTTTAATTGACTGAACAGGTAGTCGGTCACACTGGATTATTATTGATAGAATGTCCCTAACGTTGAAATTATTCTGAAATAATCAATAGTCCAGATTGTTATCAACGAATGATTGTTATTGTTATTGAGATTGTTTTTTTTTGGAATGTTCTTCTAAACCTATTACAGTATCTATTCTTGTTAATGTTCACCTCCTTCATCGGGATGAGACTCGAACCCACGACTTCCTCTTTGGGAGATCAACAGTGATGTCATCAAACCAAAAGGTAATTGACATTGAGATTGTTATCATCATTTTTTTCAAAACTAAAACTGATTTTGACTATAACCAAAATTCTAAACCCCTTTTGAATAGAGTTGGACCTCTGGTGCACATGAGTATAATGATGTTTTTACTTGAACTATTCAATATAAGACCAGACTAGATGAGACTTAAATAGACCAGACCAGACCAGACTTAAACAGACTAGACCAGACCAGACTTAAAAAGACCTGATCAGACTAGACTTGACTTACGTAGTTATAAATACACAGAGACTAAACGTTTATCAGACCAGACCAGACAGACTTAAACAGGCCAGATCGCCACAACTATTTGAACCTGGTTTCTCTATCGTTGTTGCCCGAAAAAGCTACCTATTTCGTACTACCTCCGTCCCGAAATAATCGTCCTGATTTGACCTTCACACAGATTAAGAAAGTGAAGTTGACTTCACACTGTAGCGACATTGTTTGACACTGTAGCGACACTGTTTTGCACTATTTGACACTATTTTGTATAGATTTGTTTATCAAATAAGGAAATAAGATAATTATTTTGGGACGGATCGAAAAAGAAATATTATTTCAGAGCCAGCTCCTACAAAAGAAGAGTAACGACCAAGGTAAAACACAAGCATGATTAGGCGCTCTGGTCGGCATACAAGATTCAAGACGTAACTCGTAAGAGCTGCAACCCTCCAACTAGATCTCTTCAAGCCGTAAACATTATTTCCCTCGTTCTACTTGTATGGTTTTATTTGGATTTTTCTCTTTATAGAAGAGGAAAGCAAATTGAGTACTTGAAGAAACCCTATTCATGGCTGGTATACTTGAAGGCTCGGTGCAGAACATTTTAGAGCAGGATACATTAAAGTGGGTTTTTGTAGGGGGGAAGGGTGGAGTGGGGAAAACCACTTGCAGCTCCACACTTGGTATACTTCTCGCTCAGGTCCGATCATCTGTGCTCATCATCTCTACCGACCCCGCCCACAATCTCAGCGATGCTTTCCAGCAGCGTTTCACTAAGTTTCCCACCCTTGTCAATGGTTTCTCCAATTTATATGCAATGGTACAATTAATTGATTCTTCATTAGTTTCTTCCTTGATCTTTGTTGTTTTTGTTTACAATATTTGATTATTTATTGCTCTATTCTCCAAAAATGAATATTCATCGTGTACAGCAGTACAGGGACCCAACTGAAGCTATTTACAACATGGGAGTTGTTTAGATCTAATTTTACAAACAGATTCTCTCTATTCAGCAGCACTCAGAAGCAGAAATCTTCTAGATACCCCTCAAAACCTTTATCAGAGAAGTCATGGATACCAGTTTTTCAAATTAGGATTCTTGAATGTTAACATCTAAAATAGCATTGATGTCCAGCATTAATAAAAGAATCACTTTCTGATACATCTAAAAACTCTGATTTTGATTAAAATTATAAAGAAGTAAAATCAGAATCAATGCCGAACACCCCTAAATATTTTTGTAATATTTCTATTTTTTAATGTCGATAAGTATTTTGAAGTTAATGAAGAAAGTACTCTGGAGTATTAATCACACAATTGAACTCAATCTTTAGTAAAAGATACTACCTCCGCCCCCCTAACATCGGCACAAGAGGAGGTGGTGCGGTTATGAAAAATCTTAGCGGGACAGAAGGAGTATTAAAGAATAGGTCATTCCCTTTTTGTGGGTGGGGTCAGGTTGGTTTTTGGGGCTGATATTCGAGAAAGATTGGATTCACAGAGATTTAATAATAAGATCGATACATGATGTGGGTTTCGGTGTTCATATCCCTTCGCATTTTAAATGACATACAAAAAGTTGGGCTTATCAAATTTCTTGGTGATACCAGGCTTCATGATTTTGAACTTTAATTCAGTTTGAATGAAGAAACTTTTGGGATTGATATTGTATTTGTATTTTCTGGTTTGATGTTTTTTATCAAGATTACATTTCGAAAACCAAAACAGATTATAAACATTCACTGCTGCTGACTACAGTTAGTATGGGTTTGAAGTTTGACTTTTTGTTAAACGCGTGACACTATTATTTTGTTTTACGCTAGTGGTTTGTTTGGGGATCTAAGTTGTCATCAGGAACAATTGATAGAAAACTTCATTTGATATATTGTTATGTATCATGATTATTTGGTTTCATGCTGGTTCTTTAGGAAGTTGACCCAAATGTGGAGAATGAAGACACAGTTGGGTCAGATGGAATGGATGGATTTTTGTCTGAATTGGCCAATTCTATTCCTGGAATTGATGAGGCTATGAGTTTTGCTGAGATGCTAAAGTAAGTGTCTAGATTGATGTTCTGACTTCTTATTTTAGTCCAAGCGTCGAGGTAGTATTGTTATATTATGCTTTAAAAAGTGATATGTGAAGTTAATCTTATAATTTTCACTTGCATATTACGTCGCGAGTTAATTGAATAACTTCAAAATGTGATTCATGACAAAAATCTTGGGTTATTCAACTTTTCGGCCGTCACTTTGGGTTAATATTCATTGGGTTATTCAAATTGTAATCATCAAGTGCTCCACAGTAAACAGTCCTACTGGACCGACTGTCGTGACTGGAGCCCTCAGCATTTGGTTGAGGTGTCCCTTGTCGATCGCTACACTTGGGAGACCTAGAGTGTAGCAGACCCCACAGTTGGCCTTTCTAAACCTCTGGGCTGCCTCTGCCACTGCCTAATGAGCACACTGTTTGTAAAGTGCTAGGGTAAAAACCCAATCCTGATGTCTACTGGCCCAAGCCATTCATACAAGTTATGGATTTGACATAATTCTGTTGTGTTTATTCCCTAGTGGATAAAGCTGGTCTAACATTTGTTTGCAGGTACGGTTGACATATATTTGTAAATTTTCTGTAAGAATTTTTTTTTTCCTATTCTGTATTGGTTTTGGCCTTTTGGGTTGGGGGGGGGGGAGCAAAACGGATACCACAATGTGAGCCTACAAACTATTATTCCTTCGGCATATGACTACCCCCCCCAGCATTGATAGATTAAATCAAACGATATGTTCTTTTTCAGATTAGTGCAAACTATGGATTATTCTGTTATAGTATTTGATACTGCTCCAACGGGTCACACACTCCGGTTATTACAATTTCCGTCAACTCTGGAGAAAGGGCTTGGAAAAATGATGAAATTGAAGAACAACTTTGGTGGATTGTTGAATCAGGTGTACCTCTGTTTTTCTCATATCGATGTACCTTTAGAGTTTTTTTATTTTACTTTTTGTGTGCCTGGCTGCCTGCATTGCAGGTTTGTATGCCCTACTTCTGTGTCTACAATTCTACATGATCTACTGCCTTCTTCAGTCTCTTAATGTATTGCTGTTTGTTGATATTTGGTGTATGCATCATTCCTATGGTAAATGGAACTATGCATCATTCCTATGGTTAACCAATCTGCCATTCTGTACAAAGAGTAATGAGGAATATAATTATTATATTGACATTGATTGATCCAATGTGAAAATTTTCAATTTATATCCCCATAGTAGCACTTATTGGTCAAGTTTGCCCTAAAGTTACATTTCTATTTAGTATTTATCCTCCATACTAATGCTGCTTGATGTGATGTGTCAATATTGAAATTGATCTTCCATATGTATTCATGTTTGTTCAAATGTGTGTATTTCTTCTGAAAATTAATGTTTTAAACATGAAGCTGTCAACTAATAATCTTGATGCCTTAAGCAGTTGATATATCTTTGTATGACTTATAAATCAGCAAGCAAATAATATCTTCTGGCTATCCTAATTATTTTTTGCAGGTGACTGGTCTCCTTGGTGTTGGTAATGAATTTGGTGAGGATGCAATCCTAGGAAGGCTCGAGGGAATGAAAGAGATTATTGAGAAAGTTAACAAGCAGTTCAAGGATCCGGTAAGAACTTTGAATTGTCATTTTCCAAGAAAGACATTTTCTACTTTTTACACATGCTCTGATAGAATTTAGGATTCAGATTCTGGATTAGGAACCCTACTTCTCTTATGGTATTAAAGCAGTTCTGGCCGTGGCCCATTGTTAGGTTGTTAAAACCTTGGGTTGAACTAGCTGATACATTGAATTGAATCTTTTATTATGGTTTCACCCAAGTGTCTTATGACCCAATTTTGGATCTTATCATGCTAGACTATGTAATTTTGAATCAGAAGTACGAAGTAGGTCTGTACAGTGTAAGGCTGTTATCAACCGTTTTTTTAATGAAGTAGCTCAAACAAGGGATTTGGTGTTAATCAAATGAAGCTTTTTGTATCTATCTAGAGCATGGTTGTCATGGTGCATGGCGACGGCGATGGCGAACAGGCATTTTTCCATGGCGATGACGATGGCGCAAATATGGCGTCGCCACGTGACAAAAAAAGAAAAAACTAAAAAAACGAATTATAGACACTATAATTGTATCACCCAACCACCAAAACATGTGAAGTTAAATATCCTATGTAGGATTGGAAGTCAAATGAAGGATCGTAAATCGTAGGATCGTAACTCAGATAGTAAGATCCTGTGTGTGTGTATTCCTACAACATATGCGTATGTATATATTAGAAATTAAATATAATTCATACATAATACCAAATATTTTAGGTACTTAATAACTTAAAATTATCTATTAATTATAAAATAGCTTATGTAATCAATTAAACAGAATAAAAAAGCTAAGTTATTTTAGTTATTTATAATATAAGTAAACAACTAAGTAATTTATTAAACATACGGAGTGTATAATATGTAATAAATTGTGTATATCTATAATAAACAGAATATTAAAAGGTAACTTTATTTTGAATTAATAATAAAAATAAATTGTATTATGATGCCTACCAGATAATTCAGAATATTCAAATAATAAAATCAATTTGAATTAATCATATATTGTATTAATAATAACTAATAAGTTAAGCTATTTATTAGTTTACTTTAAATAATCAATAAAATAGAATAAAAAACAATATGGAGGTCGCGGTCAGGAAGGGAACAAACAACTGGGGATTCGACGCAGAGAGAGTAGCCCATCGCTGGCGAGTCGTGACTTGAGGTTGATGCCCTATGGAGGTTGCCGGGAAGAATTGAATCGCAGAGAACAAGGGATTCGAAGGCGATGCATAAAATTTCTGAATGTTTCCCATGAACTCCAGATGCTTAGATCCAGATTATTTTACCGGGAGTCTGGGACGCAGAGAGAGTAGCCTGTCGCCATGGCGATGGCGCTCAAATGGCGATGGCGCCCAAATGGCGTCGCCACTGGTATAGGTATCGGCACACCCACTTTTCATGGCGCAGGGGGGATTTGCGGGCCACATGGCGCATGGCGTACACGCCATTCTGCGCCATCAACAACCATGATCTAGAGTAAAAAATGTTGTAAGTTTTGAATCAGTGAATTAAGAAGTTAGTTTCTAAAGTTGTGCTAGTTTGCGAATAACTTTTGTATAGGTTTCTACTTAGATGGGTTAAAGAATGATGGTTTCAGTTTAATAGAGCTTTCGTTCTCTGTTATTCATAGAAAGTAGTAGCGTATAGTAGTATATACTTTTCCCTTACCTATTATTTCTTCCTTTTTCCTTCAAATGTTTTCCATGTTATCCAGATCTCTCAACACCATTGTTTTCAACAGGACTTGACAACATTTGTCTGTGTTTGCATTCCGGAATTCTTGTCGCTGTATGAGACTGAAAGGCTTGTGCAGGAACTCACTAAATTTGACATTGACACACATAATATCATTATCAACCAAGTCATATTCGATGAAGAAGGTACTATTGTTTACCAAATTGCTACTTGCATGTACTTGATCTTCTCCGTACTGTAACTCCCTCTGAATAGATGAAAACTAATAATGTCTGTGGACCTGTTTGTATACCTTTCATTAGTAGTGGAGTCAAAGTTGCTCAAGGCGAGAATGCGAATGCAACAGAAGTACTTAAATCAGTTCTACATGTTATATGATGACTTCAACATTACTAAATTGCCTTTGCTGCCAGAAGAGGTATGGAGATCCTCTTGTGTACGATGTGTTAAGTATGCCTGGTTAAATTGTCCTATAAATGTTAAATGTTCATACACTACCTATATGATTTTGAGATCCATTAGTGTTAAACGACTAGGGGAATAGTGGAAATAATGAGCTACCTTGTGGTACTTCGTGTGTAGTTATTACTTCCGGGTGCAACATTTCTAAAAACTATGAAGTATTTTTTAATGTTACTGGCACCTCAAGTCATTTACCTGCATTTAACTCGAAAATAAAGGTGTATATATATAAATAGAGATTTACCATTGTTTGATATAATTTGTTTACTTATTCGAATGCTGACTGAAATCTCATTACGAATCGACACTTAAATACTTAACTCAAAGTGCGAGTTGTGTCTCACATCTAGATAGACATCAGCAATCAAGTTAAATTTATCATTATCTACGTTTACATTTATGAAATTGTTATCAAAGTTGTTTGCAATTGTTTCATGGCACAATGTCTTAGAAATCCTTCACTATCTATTTCAATTGACATGGTGTCATAGCGGGGTGAAGTAAAATCTATTGAATTGGCAAGTTAAGCTGTATTGCATGTGAAGTTTTTTCAAACATTAAGCCTAGCTAATTTGCCATGGTACTTGGTAGGTTTGTGGTATTCAGGCTCTGAAGGATTTTTCACACAATTTTACGACTCCATACCAACCTTCTCTGGTTCGAGGCTCAGTTGAAGAGTTGAAGCAGAGAGTATCTGTACTAAGGAAACAATTGGAAGATGCTGAAGCAGAGCTAGAAATACATAGAAAAGGAAAGCAGAGGGCTTGACTCCTTTGCTTTAATTTGAACATTAATGCAGTTTTGGAGTTAGGACGCCACCCTCTCTTAAATATGGAAGGACCCTTAGTCTCTATTTGGATGAAGCTTAATCTAGGTGAAAACCAGAATATAGAAGACAACCTCTAAAACCCTCCGGTTTTAGAGGGTTCTTTGTGTTGATCCTCTGGTTCACTTGTAACATCCCATGCGAGGCTAGTCCAGATTTACATTCATTTGGAAATATCTATGTTCATCCCGAACAAAACAAATCATTAAGTGATAAGTTGTTCAAGTTATAGGTACTGTGTATTTCTCCACTCGTGTTAGTGTGCTTGTATGATGTGAGGACTAATTAAATGCAATTATTTAGAATGGGACTCGTTAAGTTGGCACAAAATATAGCTGTGCATAATGTTTTCTCACGGGAATGTAATTTTTCGGGTAAGTAATACTCCATTAAGTTACTCCATCTGTCTTGAAAATTGAGTTCGTGGTTTGTCTTCACGGCCTCACGGGTTTGTAGGTTCGGATTAAAAATAAAGTTGATTTTTTTTTTAAATTACCCTTGCTTTATTAGCGCCATCATTTGCAATGAGGTCAAAGATTCACTATTTTTTGGTTTGAGAATATGGTTGAATAAACCAAAATGATTCACTAAATTGTTTGCGTGTCTTTGTTATATAGCAACAGTCGCAATTTTCGATGTAGTTTTCACTATGTCATTCGGGAATAGTCTTTTTGTGATTTAGTGCAGGGGTAAGATTGCGGATGTCGATGATGACCCATGCCTTATTAAAAGATGTAGTAGCTCAAAAACATATGGTAATTGGGTTAAAGGAATAGTAAAGATAATACACATCTATTCGAATAAGGAAATCATTGGTAATTACATGATTACATCACAAACTTATACAATACTCGTACAAAACAAATATTCCTTTACAAATGAGCTAAAGTTTTGAAGTACCCTCCCAAAATAAGATTCCATCCTTTTATAAATGTTACACATTTTCTATAGACATAAATTAGATATTCTTTTTCAACATTTACTTCTTTCATCTACCTCCACTTGTGCAGCAGAAAATAAATATCTTTAGTGCAGAATATTTGCCTAAAAGTTGAAGTTCAGGTCTGAATATGTCACTCCCGAGTCAAGGTACCAAATCTCACTTTTTCTGCCACCAATAGAAACATCAATGGGGGAATGGGTCTACTTTTGGCCATAGAAAATGACCTAAACAAGTAAACAAGAAAGAAGAATCATTCAAATATTGTTGAGCAATTGAAAGGAAAGAGAACTTTAGAGAGGCTTATTGACATAGACGGTCATGGAACTCAATATACCAACAAAGATTGTCCAAAAAATGTGGTGCACAACAAAATAAAAATTGGAGGTTGGCCTACCAATATATGTTCTTAGCAATGAATTGCAAAAAATTACAAAAATTCTTTACCACCATAGAAAAACACGAGAACTTTGGGCTATGCAATGGACATGTCCAAGTCTACCATTCAAAAGTGATTTAAGGGAATCATATAAAAAGACGCTCAAATGTAATTAGTCCCTTTTAAATGATGCAGGAAAGGTAAAGAGGCTAGATTTCTGCTTTAGAAAACATAAATCCTTCTTCACTATCCTTCACTACCCCAATATTTCTTGACTTTTTTTATCACATACACATAGATGAGAATTGATTTAAAAAAAGATTAAACTATCAAACATTCTACACACTGCCCACATATGAGGACTCCTACAAGACAGAACAGTCAAAAAATTCATATAAAAGTTTATGTTCTTAGCAGTGTGGGTAGACCTATAGTGTGGGACAATGGGGAGTCTTTATGAGAAATGGGGAGTCTTTATGAGATGGAATGGTTTGAATTTTTTCATTCACTTACCAAGATCGGTCAAGAGAACAAGTAAAATTAGACAAACAGGAGCATTAGAGACTAAGACAACTCTGAATGTTAAAATAGCAGTAGTGAAGAGCATTACACTAAATCAACTACTACTAGCAACAAAACAGAAATGGTTGGATGTACATAGCATGAGTATAATCATTGGGCACGATAATGCAAAACCTCACATTGATGTTATTGATCCAAATTTAGGGAAATAAATGCAAGCTCACATTGCTAAAGATCATAAGGCACAAAAAGTGTAACCATTATGAAGTTAGTAAATGCAAAGATCACATCGTTTAAAGAGCTTACACTTGCTACAATGAACAAGGTGTTCCTAAATTATGGTGGCAATGATTTCAAGTTGGCATGTAGGCAAGGACATATTGCAAAGGCGGGGGTCGCTACCTAAGAATGTGTAAATTTGTCCAAAGTTGTATGAGACAACAATGACAAGTTTAGTTGAGATTTGGCAACTACCACATCACAACTTGTAATTCAAGACTATGAGTTCATAAGTGAAGACGTATAGCAGCTTTACAGGTGAACTTTCAGGCTATAATAAACACACAAGTTATTTTTGTTAGTAGCACACCTATTTTTGCTAGTATTTAGTTGTAAGTTTTAGTTGCAATTGTAGGTACCAGCCATAAGTGAATGGCCAATCTATAGTTAGTACAAATTGGTTGCAATTGTCTAGGTACTGGCCAATCTAGTGTACCTTACTTTATCTAAGCCCAAATCTAGTGCATGTTAGAAACTATCACATAGTGTTGAAACACCAACATAATTCTGAATATCATCATTAGTTACAAATAAGATTAAAGACATTATCGCCACATAATTCTGAATATCAGACCACGTCATAAGCACAACACACAAATCATTCAATATGAAAAGCACATGGATAAGGTATGGACTTAAAGACATCATGACCATACATTTCTGAGTATCAAAACACATCATATGCAGAATACACAAAAGCATCCAAGCATTAAAGTCGATAAAAAGTGCAGTGACATTTTGTAAATAAATCATTTTTTTCTTTGCAAAAGTGGACTTCTTGTGTCAATAGTGGATGATGAAAATCACTTGAATACAGTAACGCACCTCAAATGATCAAAAGTAAAATCGTTCGCACTTCATACGAGAAGCTCACTTTTTCTTCGAAGCAGACCTTATATACTTCCTCCGTTCCAATATTCTTGCAACATGAGGTTGGGCACACAAATTAAGAAACTCCAATAAAGTAAAGTTTATTCCAGGATTGCCCTTGTACGTATAATACGTAGTAGTACTCCGTAATAAAGAAGCTACAGTACAATGGGGGGTTTTGCACGCCACACAAAAAATAAAAGAACATCCAGCAAAGCACATGGCAGCCTGCAGTACATAATTCAAAACAGTACAACTAATCTAAAAGGACATCCAGCAAAGCACATGGCAGCCTTACACAATTCCCATGGATGAGCAGATTTCAGTTGATGAGCTTCTTCAGTTAGAGGGGTATTCCGAGTTTGGTGACTTTACAGTTGACTCCGATATTGAAACATTTTCTTCCTTCATGTCTGAAACTGAAAGTGAGGGAGAAGAAGTGTTAGTAGGCAGAAAAAGGCTAGATATGAAAAATGATGAAAGGAAGCACCTAGTGGAAAAGCTTTTGATTTTAGCTGATGGAAAAATTCTTCCCAAAGGTGCCATATCACAGTTGGCAGCAGAATTTAAAATTCACAGAACAACAGTGTGGAGATTATGGTCTGCAACAAAAGTTCAAGTTGATAGAGGTACACCGATTAATGTTCAAAATAAGAAAAAGGGAAGGAGTGGAAGGAAAGCTCAACCTTTTAATTTAGAGACACTTCATGGTGTGCCCATTGAACACAGAACTACAATTAGATCTTTATCTACTTCACTTGGAATGGGTCACTCAAAAGTTTATAGGTTGCTAAAAGCAGGACAACTTAGAGCTCATACAAATAGCATCAAGCCTAAACTAAGTCATTCACACATGATAAAGCGCCTACAACACATCATGGGTCAGGTTATGCCAAGAACAGTCCATACAATCCCAAGATTTTCAGCAATGTACAATGTTATTCATATAGATGAGAAGTGGTTTTACATGTCACAACAAACACAAAGGTTTTACTTATTTCCTTGGGAGGATGATCCGTATAGAAGCTGTCAAAATAAAAAATTCATTGGGAAAGTCATGTTTATGGCTGCTGTTGGCAGACCACAAGTTTCAGTTGAAGGTAAGATAATATGGGATGGAAAAATTGGGATTTTCCCATTCACAGAGGTGGTATATGCACAAAGAAATTCAGCTAATAGAATTGCTGGCACCCCGGAAACAAAAGCAATTCAAAGTGTGACCAAAGAAGTAATCAGGTCAAAAATGATTAATTCATTACTGCCAGCAATAAGGGACAAATGGCCATCAAATGCATGCAAAGATATATGGATTCAACAAGATAATGCTATGCCTCATATTAGTGTGCAAGATGAAACATTCATTGAGGCTGCAACTTCTTTTGGATTCAATACCAGATTGATTTCCCAGCCAGCTCAAAGTCCTGATTTTAATGTGCTTGATCTTGGATTTTTTAGAGGTATACAATCAATTCAATACAAGGCTTTTCCAAAAGATGTGAATCAATTAGTGAGTGCTGTTCAAGATGCATTTCATGTTTTTGAACCTAAGCTATTAAACTACACTTGGTTGCATCTTCAATATGTTATGTTAGAAGTATTGAAAGTGAAGGGTGGTAATAACTATAAAAATCCCCACACACAAAAAAGAAAACTTGATAGATTGGGGGAACTACCCGTTCAGATTGACATCCCAAATACTCTCATTGAAGATACCAGAAGCTACCTCATGGAGGGTGAGATAATAGACATGACTGTGGGTGTAGGCGCAAATAACACTTGAGAGTGATTTTGGTACTGAAGGCAGTATTAGTTTTTGCTACTGAAGGCAGTATTAGTTTTTGCTAATGAAGGCATCCTAGCTTTTTTTTTGCATAAAGTGATTGGTAAGACATCCTTCTTTGTTGTTGTGATGCCATATTTGCATATGGGTTTTTTGTATAGTGAGGCTAGGCTGCCTTTTTTTTGTTGCATAAACTGAACACACCCTATTTTGTGATGCCATAAAGGCAATGTACTTTTTGTGAAGACAGTGTACTTGTAATTATTTTAAGGTTGGGATGTTCCTATCATGGTTCAAGAACATGATTTTTTTTGAATACTATTCCTATTTTGTGAAGAATTATTGTTCTTACTGTATAGATAATCAAAATTCTTATCTGAACTTTTCTATTTAGTTTTTTAATTAGTTAAGACTTCATAGGCTCTCTGCTCTCCCTACTCCCCAGCAACTTCAAAAAATTGAAAATCCTAATTTTAGATATAGGCAAAAAAAATCATAGGCAAAAAAATGATTTCGTTTTTAACAAAATATCATAGGCTAAAATTAATAGGAAAAAAAATTCCGGACTATGTAAAAGTATTCACAAATGAACAAACAAAGCAAGTTTCACTCAACATAAAAAAATACGAAGTACCTATTTCATCATAGAAAACTTTGTGTTCTTCTTCTCCGCATGGTTCTAGACCTGTGTCTCTTGATGCCAGAATATGAGGAGGGTTGCCTGGAATCACCCGATTTATTTCTTCACTGCTACAAGGCTGCAGGGGAGTAGGGAGAGCAGAGAGCAGACAAATCGTCGTCGTTCATTTCACCGGAAAAAATGGATTTTGAATTGAAGATAATAGAAAGGGGGGAAATCTAGATCTGATTTCTTAAAATCAAAATGAAGAGGAAGGTCAAGATAAGAGAAAGAGGAAGATGGTGGGTGGAGAAATTGAAGAGACAAAGGGAGGTGGGAGGCGTGAAGATAGAGAAGAGAAAAAGTTATTGGGAAGAGAAAAAGGGGAGGTGGCCGGTGGGTGATAAATTAAATTGTATGGAAAGTGTTCAAATTAAAAGAGAAATACGATAGTAATTGATTTGATAAGGGATAGTAAAGTCATTGTACATAATTATATTTGCCAAAAAGAGTAACGTTGCAATTATTTTGAAACTGCCCAAAAAGGAAAGTGTTGCAAGAATTATGGAACGGAGGAAGTATATTGAAGCACTCATAATACCATTATATTATGAACTTCTTAGACCTTAGTTGTATTTTGGCTATTTTAGTCATCCTCTCATAATTATAAAACTTCAATCATTGAAATATAATGTCGATAGTCCATATTCGCTTCGTATTAAAATATTTGCTATAATAAGATTTGACACAATGATTAAAAGAAAAAAAATATGGATAATGAATAGATAGAAATTATTTTTGTGAGAAATCTAACAAACATTTCAATACAGAGGGAATAGTTAGTAATTATTTTTGTGATGTATTTACTGCCTCCGTCACGAATTGAGCTGTAAAGTTTGACCGACACAAAGATTAAGAAAACATATAATTTGTGAATGAGTTTATCATTTTTCCCTTTTCATACTCCGTGGAACTAGATTGAAAAATGGCGAAGTAAAATTCAGATCTGTAGCAACACTTGCATTGAAGAAAGTACAATCCTACCCTGCACTTTTAATTTTATACATTAAAATTAAGTGTAATTCTATTTACAGCCCTAAATTTACTAAACACAACCCCTTAATTGAATTTAAATAAATAAAATTATTTCCAATATCTATCTTACCCTTACACACATATATTACAATTTACAACCCATCTACTACTTATCTATAACAACTTATTATACAGACTCTAAAAAAGAATACTACGTAATTTACAAAGAATAATTTTACCCGGACGATGGCTAAACTATATCTTGAGTTCTTGACATGAAATTAAAGTATAGTTCTTCACGTAGGTGTTGCCCGACAACTACGTCACTTCATCACCGAACTGCTCAATGGTTACCAAATCGCTCATCATTCCGTTTGCATCGCCGGAGATTACCTGATCACATCACCGACTTTTTGGGTAAAAAGGAGACTCCCCTGCTGCACGCTAGGAAAATGTTTGGACGAGCTTGTTGTCTGGGCTGAGAGAAACCTCACTGCAATACTTTCATGGGAGGAAGAAGAAGAGATATTGTTCTCTTGCGAAAGAGACCGAGAGAACTTACCCTTGATTTGACGGATAGTTGAAACAGAATGTGCCAAATTGAAGCTAAACAATTCACTTTCAAATTTAATGGTAGAATTCCCTAATTATCTGCTTTGTTGAAAATAGAACTCCATCACTGATATGGTATAGGATTGGATGCTTATTTGGACTCCCAACATAACATCTTCCGTCCTTTGCAGATGAACAGTGGACGCTCTGTCATCGACGAAAACCAGCCACTGTGACTTTGCGCCGAACAAGGACGTGGTTGCAGCAGGGACGACTCCATGAAGGGTATAATAGGAATTTTATCTTTTATGAAAGAGGGTGTGTGACTGTGTGTTTAGTACGGAGTAAATGAATGGATGTAGATAGAATTTCCCTAAAATTAAAACTGCAGCCCAGGTCTAATTCCCCCCTTTCCCCTTACTCCTTTCCCTTACCCTGTGCAGACGGCCCATTCACCCAAGTGAAGCACCGGTAGGCGACATGCCAACTCCCCTTAGCCCCTGCGTACCATCAACAACACAGGCACACAACATCGACTAGCAAGTGATGGAGCTACTGAGCAAGTCTGCAGGGTAGGATTGATGAAGTAAGTAGCGAACAAGTGAACAACGAATCAACGACGGACTGACGAAGACCGGAGTGACGGACGGAGAGACACCGACCACTGACGACCATCCCTTGTCCCTTTCGGTCCTTCTTCAGTTCTTCTGATTTCCGGCTTAATCTCCGCTGTGACGTGTAGCCGGTGCTCCCATCTCCAGACTCCAGGTAAGCCTCCTAACACCTTAACCTAAATATTTTTCCTTTTCTGATAATTTCATTTAAAATTGTTGATTTGCTGAATTTTATCTGTTGAATTCAAATAAAATGTTAATTGTTGAATACTTTTATTTGTCGAATTCAAATAAACTGTTGAATTTTTTAGGCTTTATTATATTCTGATTATCTAATTAAATTTTTTAATTATATTGTAAATTTGTAATTGTGGATATGTTGATTTAGTTAACATTGTTAATTTATTATAATGTAATTTTTACAATTATACAAATATTATTTCAATTGTAGTCTGTTTAGGTTGTTTGATAAACAATCGCTATGTTAGAATTTTTTTGGAAGAATAATTTTATTTCTTCGTCAGCTAATGTCATTCATAAGAATAAAAATAATGTTAAAAGGGCTCGAATAGAAGTTGAATCGTTGGATGATGACATTGTTGGTGATCCTAGATTGCGTAAACTGATTGAAACTTATGATGTTAATATTGTTGTATTCATGAGTCCTAATGTTCCCCCAAGTCATCACTTTTCTGGAATCGCTCAGGTATTCATCTCTTTTCTTCATCTGAGTTAGAACTCAGATCACGTCCATCTCATTTGGAGCCCCATTCATCTCCCTTCTTCAGCAAACTATTCACAAAATAAAGATAATTTTTTACTCACAGAAGGAAGCACTTCTACCGTTCAATTTCTCATTTTTCCCCATTGTCACTGACCCCCAGCTAGTGACCGATGGTTGAACCATCGCCATCGCTGACCATAGGTGATCCCTCACTAACCCTGGAATTTAACTCGTGACAGTCCATTTCACAAAAGCTCAATATGGGTGTTGATGGGACGCCCGGTCACCTGCACTCCGCCACCCCCCTCGGCGGTTCTAGTATTACTCCATACTCCAGTCCTCTTGATTCACATCCTGAATTGTGTAATAATTAAATAATTATGGTTGAAGTTACATTTAAGTTATGCTTTCATATTTTTTTTCTTTATTTGATTACTAAAATACTATCTATATTTTAAACACAATTTTTACATAACTTATAAATTTCAGCAAAAACAACTGTTATTCATAACTTTTGTTTGTTTATTAACTGATTAGCAGGGCTGGCGCAGGGCATGTGTACCCAGCCCATTTGCACAGGGCCCAAACTTCTTGAAGGCTCAATTTTTTTTAATACTAGTACTCCGTATTATACAGCCCACTGTCCGAAGCCTTGAACTGCTAAGTCTGCGAAGGAAACGAAGCGCTAACGAAGGGAACCGCAAGATTGAAAGGCTGAAGCTTAACTGCGAAAGGTCGAAGGAAATATAGAACGAATGCTGAATACAGAAGGGAGAAGACGGGAAGAAAGACCCGCTGACGACCGCAGCTAGTCAGCGCCAGGCCTCCACCCTGCCACCACCGCACGTTCGCACCACGCAGCGACTCCCTTCCTGACCGCCTCCGACCTCCAGGACCACGACCGCACCATCCCGGCAGTCCACTGTCCACGCTAGGCCGCTGTCTGCACTCCTGCAGTAACCGGTAAGCAACTAAGCAGATTTTTCTGATTTCTTTGATTTTGATTCTTTGAATTGCAAATTAGTGAAATCAATTAGTTCTTTGATGCCTACTTTTGGGGCCCTTGTTGTGATTTCTTTATCTATTGTAGTAGTTTATTCCTTATTGAGGAATTGAATTGAGAACAAGTGTGTTTAAAAGTTATTCCATTAAGAATTTGAATAATGTAAATTAAATTTTAAGCTAATTTTTTTAACATGTAGAGGATTAGGGGAGAATTTGAATAATTGATATTTGGTAGTAAATTGTCTTGGAACTTGGGAAAAGGCCCAATTTTTGTTGTTGCACAGGATCCTTAATTTCTCAAGACGGCCCCTGCTGATTAGTTAATATTCATAAATCTTTATTGTTGATTGTATATTTGTTATCTATTAATTGGTTCTGCCCTTGTTGATATTCACTTTAGCTGATTAGTTCATAGTTTTCTTAAAGCTATAATTTTACACTTCATATTTGTTGACTTTTTTAATTTGAAGTGATTAGTGATTCTTATACTATGTAATTAAATTTGGATTTTGTCTTATATATTAGTTGTAGAAATTATAGGAAGGAATGAATTGTATTTTGTCTTAACAATTCAAATGTACATGGGTATATATAGGAGTACAATGAGGAGATTGTGTGTAACTAACTATATAGGATAATATTTACATTTAGTTAAATCTAATTACATAAGATAAATATTATTTATGATTTATCTCCAATATGCCCCCGCAAGTTGGGGGGTCTGGGAAGAACTCCAAGCTTGAGATGAAGATCATGAAAACGACGTCGGGGAAGAGGCTTTGTGAGTGAATCAGCAAGCTGATCTTCAGACCGAACATGAGAGACACGAAGAATACCGTGTTGAACATGTTCACGAATGAAGTGATAGTCAAGAGCAAGGTGTTTCATACGAGAGTGAAACACAGGGTTAGCGCAGAGGTGAGTGGCACCAACATTGTCACAATAGATAGCCGGCTGAGTAGGAATAACAACATGTAATTCAGTGAGAAGCGAGAGTATCCATCGAAGTTCAGCAGCGGTAGTAGCAACTGAGCGGTATTCGGCCTCGGTAGAGGAACGAGCAACCGTGCGTTGCTTTCTAGAGCTCCAAGAGATAGCATTTGAACCCAAAAATATGACAAAAGCTCCAGTGGAAGTGTAATCATCAGGATTTCCGGCCCAGTCCGCATCAGAATATGCATGCAAGGATAGAGGTGAAGATCGGCGTAGTAGAAGGCCATGAGTGGCTGTGTGGCGAAGGTAACGAAGTACCCTCTTCGCAGCTTCCCAGTGTGTAGTGGTAGGGCAGTGAAGAAACTGGGACAACTTGTTCACTGCATATGAGAGGTCTGGCCGAGTGAGAGCGAGATACTGGAGACCACCAACAATGGAGCGGTATTCTTCTGGATCTTCATGTGGCTGACCGTCTGTAAGGCTGAGTTTAGAGTTGGCAGCGAGAGGTGTGGTCACACCATTACATGTAGCCATTTTCGACCGAGACAGTAGGTCCATGATATAACGGTGTTGAGAGAGAAGAATGCCACTTGGATGAGAAGTAACCTCAATACCAAGAAAATAAGATAATTGTCCAAGATCTTTGAGAGAGAACCGGTGACCAAGAGTAGTGATGAGAGCTTCAATAAAATCTGAGGAACTGCCAGTGATAACTATATCATCAACATAAACAAGAATATAAATGAGAGTAGTATCACAATGATAGACAAATAGAGAAGTATCCGCCTTGGAGTTTGTAAAACCCAGTTGAATAAGAAATTGTTTGAGTTCTTGATACCACGCCCGGGGCGCCTGCTTAAGACCATATAGTGCTTTGTGGAGACGACAAATATGATTGGGTTTGGTGGAGTCAACAAAACCGGGAGGTTGAAGCATAAAAACATCATCATAGAGATGGCCCTGCAAAAAAGCATTATTAACATCAATCTGGCGGAGCGGCCACCCACGACTGACCGCAAGAGATAGGACTAGTCGGATAGTTGTCGGTTTAATAACCGGACTGAAAGTTTCCGTGTAGTCAATGCCAGGGCGTTGATGAAAGCCCTTGGCTACAAGCCGTGCCTTATACCTGTCAATAGTACCATTAGGAAGTCGTTTAACACGAAATACCCATTTGCAACCAACTATATTTTCTCTGCCAGTACGAGGAACCAAAGTCCAAGTACCATTTTTTATAAGAGCATTGAACTCGTCGGACATAGCTTGCCGCCAGTTGGAATTAGCAAGAGCTTCTGTAACAGTACGAGGTTCAGGAGAGGAGGAAGACACTTTAGAATGAAGATTATATTTAGTAATGGGGCGATAAATATTATTCATGGATCGGGTGACTCGACGAGGGGGAGGGGAAGGAGGAGACTGGGTGGTTGTTTGCAGGGGTGAGGATGTGTGCATGGGAGAGGACGTGGACTGTTCATTAGTGTCATGCAAAAAATTGGACTCGTGCATGGGAATAAGTTGTTTGTCTGACGTGGTGGAGAATGGGATATGATTATTGTTATGGGATGGGGGAATTAATGTCACCGACTTGGGCGCTATGGAGTTTGGTGTGCTGTGGCAGGTTGTTGGGATAAGATGAGATTGGGTTGGAGGATTTTTTGAAGGTAGCGAGGGTGAAGGGCGGTTAGTGGGTGAGATATTATTGGTAGGAGAAATATGTGGGGAGGATATTACTTGGGAGGGGATAATAATTGGAGAAGAGTTAGGAGATAGAGGTGGGGGGTTGTGTGTTGACCGAGAGAGTTGGGGAGGATTAGAGAAATTTTGGCCAAGAATATGGGAATTTGAATTTAAAAGTTGATGGGGGGCCAGCCATGGGGTGATGGGGTCGGGAAGGGGTGTGGAATGGGAAAGATTAGTGTATGGAAAAATATGTTCAACAAAAATAACGTGACGTGAGACGTATATTCGGGAGGTAGTGGGATCCAAGCAAAAATATGCGCTTTGACTGAGTGAATAACCCAGAAAAATACACACAACAGAACGGGATTGAAGTTTGTGTTGGGTATATGGCCGAATCCATGGATAACAGAGACATCCAAAAATTCGGAGTTTTTGGTAATTCGGGGGAGAACGATAAAGATATTCATAAGGAGATAAGTAATTAAGTGTAGGTGTGGGAAGACGGTTAATTAGATAGACCGCCGTGGGTAGGGCGTATGACCAGTAGGTGGGTGGTAAAGATGCTTGATGTAATAGGGTGAGACCAGTTTCAACAATATGGCGGTGGTGACGTTCAGCATAGCCATTGTGTTCGGGGGTATGTGGGGGTGATGTGAGGTGGGAAATACCAGTTTGGGTGAGATAGGGAGTAAGGGCTTTGAATTCTCCACCATTGTCAGAAAAAAATGTCTTAATTTTGAGTCCAAATTTATTTTCCACTAGTGAACGAAAAACCGGAAAAATGACACGAACATCAGACTTGCGTTTTAAGGGGTAAAACCAAATATATTTGGTAAAGTGATCAATAAAAATGACATAATATTTAAATTGATCAAACGAGATAATAGGAGAGGTCCAAACATCAGAAAAAATAATTTCTAATGGATTGGACGACTTTATGGAAGACTCATGAAATGGAAGTTTATGACTTTTATTACATTGACACGAATCACAATTAAAATCTAAAGAGGATACATGATTTATTTGGGAGGGAAATTTGGTTAACATATGACGAAAAACTGCTTGAGACGGGTGACCTAGGCGTGAGTGCCACTGTTGTGATGAAACGTTGATGCTTGAGTAAGCACGAACAGGAGAGGATGTGGCCGGCCATTCATAGAGACCATTTTTAGCTCGACTGTGGAGGAGGGGTGCCCCCGTGCGAAGATCCTTAACACAAAAAGTAGATGGTGAGAATTCAACAGAGGCATTATTTTGAAGACAAAACTGTGACACAGAGATAAGATTTTTATGAATAGAAGGAACACATAAAAGATTTTTTAGTTGAAATAAACGGGAGGGAGATGACAAAGTGCCTGAACCCGTAAAAGTTATAGGAAGACTACTACCATTTCCAACGACAACTTCATCAGTGCCCGAATATGGAGTATGCAGAGACAAATTATCAAGATCAGATGTCAAGTGATGCGTGGCTCCACTGTCAAAAATCCACGGAGCAGATGGTGCCGATCCAAGAAGACCGCTGCCCATGGCAGCATGAGCCTGTGGAGGAGACCAGGCTGGCCGAGGAGAAGGTTGCCATGGAGTTGAGGAGTCACATGATGGTGCTCCAGTAATGGAAGTGAGCCTGAAGAGAGGGCATGCGCGGGCAGAATGTCCCTGAGTGCGGCAGGCTTGACATGTGCCAAGATATGGTCGAGGTGTGGTGCTTGAAGAAGATGGGCGACTGGAGGAAGAGCCACCACGACCAGAAGTGGAGTGATGACGTCCACCGCGGCTGCGTGATCCTGAGGCAGGAGGTCCCCGAGCAACATTGGCGGTTATAGGCGTAGGGGATGACTCAGATTCATGGAGCAATTTGAGTTCACGATTAATGAGTTTTTCATGAAGCTCGGTAAAGGTGATGCATTTCTCCCGACCTTCAAGTGCCTCAATAATGGATTTGTAACCTTCATCAAGGCCGTCAAGAATCATTTCAATAAAATCTTCGTGATCTAATGGTTTTCCCAGAATAGCAAGTTCATCAGCAGCGGTTTTCATGAAGTGCATGTATTCAGTGATAGACTTGGATCCTTTGGTGTATTTTCTCATTTGAGATTTGAGTTGCTTGACATGCCCACGAGATGGTTGAGCGTACACAGATGAGAGCGTATTCCAAGCATCTTGGGTAGTCTTGGCACGAGTAATGAGAGAGACCACAGGGGAAGTGAGAGTACCAATGAGAGCACCAAACAGGAGTTTATCCTGACGGATCCAAGAAGAATAAGCCGGATTTGAAGAAGTAACGCCGTCCACTGTCTTGGTAGCAGGCGGGCAGGGGAAAGAGCCATCAAGAAATCCTTCGAGATTATAGCCAGTGAGAAGAGATTGAATTTGTAATTGCCATGAGATATAGTTGGTGGAGGAAAGTTTGATGACATTCCCGAGATTAACAGAAATCAATGGTTTGTTGGGTTCAGAGGAGTTGGGAATGTGAATGTTGCTGGAATCGGAGGTGGTATCAACCTCATGTGAGACCATGATGGTGATCGGATGAGAGTGAAGGCCGAAAAAAAAAATCGAGAAACTAGATCGAAAGCTGTGATACCATGTAGAAATTATAGGAAGGAATGAATTGTATTTTGTCTTAACAATTCAAATGTACATGGGTATATATAGGAGTACAATGAGGAGATTGTGTGTAACTAACTATATAGGATAATATTTACATTTAGTTAAATCTAATTACATAAGATAAATATTATTTATGATTTATCTCCAATATTAGTTTGGTAGGATTCATAAATCTTTATTGTTGATTGTATATTTGTTATCTATTAATTGGTTCTACCCTTGTTGATATTCATTTTAGCTGATTAGTTCATAGTTTTCTTAAAGCTATAATTTTACACTTCATATTTGTTGACTTTTTTAATTTGAAGTGATTAGTGATTCATACACTATGTAATTAAATTTGGATTTTGTCTTATATATTAGTTTGGTAGGATTTTGAATTATAATTTATAAATTTAACGAATTATAATTTGTAACTGTGTTTCTACTTTATTTATTTTAACGAATTATTTTTTATTTTATTTTAAATGTCTTTAAATATTATTATTATTATTATAAATGTTACTTTAGACATAAAATGGTTTTTCAATTTTTTTAAAGATTAAGCCCATTTTTAATTACCCACTCCTATGCTTTCAAACATACAGGAGTGGCCCTGCTTTTGACCTTTTGTTTTAAATAGTTATTTTATGTTATTATCAGATCTTTCTTGAATGTGTCATAAAAACATTTCGTGTACTTTGGGATTCATCTGAGTGTTTTGAATTTTGATGTAGGCAGGTCGTAAAATGGACAAGGAAACAGATTATGAGCTTTTGGTTGCAGACAATATCATTGGACCATTTCTTATTGCTTCAAATTGTTCCAGCATACAAATGGCCCTGGAGAAGCTTATTGAAATTGCTAAAACTGCAGAAGGCCGTTCGCACCTTGCTTCCCAAAATGTCATTTCCAAACTCCTGCAAATGTGCTTATCCATCTCATACCCTATGGGTTGTCACATCCTTTCCCTATCCTTAAAGTTACTTAGAAATCTCTGTGCAGGAGAAATAAGAAACCAAAATGCTTTTCTTGAAGAAAATGGAGTGGAAGTTATCTCAACTACTATAACTTCCATAGGAGATGCTTCTGATTATAATGCTGAGATTGTTCGAATGGCTCTGCAACTTCTGGCTAATTTTGTATTGGCGGGTGGAGAACATCAGCGGGCTGTTTGGTGCAAATTCTTTCCAAATGGGTTCTTGAATCTTGCCAGGGTAAGAAGCAGTGAGTCTTGTGATCCCTTGTGTATGGTTATTTACACTTGTTGTGAAGGGGATGATAAGCTATTAACTGATTTATGTAATGAACAAGGGTTGCCTGTGGTTGTTGAAATTATAAGGACAGCATGTATGGGTATGTGTAATCATATTACTTATACATTTGTTTAACTTTCAATAGTGAATAGATAAAAGGCATGCAAATTTTCTCTTGGGGCAAAATGATTTAATTCATTATTTGTTTGACAGCTGATTCCACCACAGGGAGCGGGTTCAATTTGCTTCTATCAAAAATTTGCATTGAAGGGTATCACACTGCATCACTTTTCTTCAAGTTAAATCCAGATTATGCTGCTGGTATGATTCCTGCAGATGGCCATTATGTTTCTGAGCAAACATATACTTTGCGCACCCTTTCTGATGTATTGAACGGCGGAATAGAGGTTTTAGCTGTAACCTCTGATTTTGCTTTGTGCATTCTTGGGATACTAAGAAGTGCTGCTGGCGGTGTTGATTTTACAACTAGAGGAAAAATAGGTCTTCCGACTGGCTCCGTTCTTGTAAATGTTCTAGGGTATTCTTTGACCATTTTGAGAGATATTTGTGCATGTGATCGCCGCACCGGTTTCAAAGATGATGTCGTGGATGTGCTCGTTTCATCTGGACTAATTGAGTTGCTACTTTCTTTCCTCCGTACCCTTGAACCTCCGGCAATAATTCAAACTGCGATGAAACAACAGCAACACCGCGAGAACCGCCAAGAGGAGGAAGAGACCACCATGTCTTCTCGTCAGATTGTCGCTTGTTGTCCTTACAAAGGTTTTAGGAGAGACATTGTTGCAATACTTGGAAATTGTGCATACAGGAGAAAGTACGTGCAAGATGAAATTAGGGAGAAAAATGGCATTGTTTTATTATTGCAACAGTGTGTCCCTGATGAAGATAACCCCTTCTTAAGGGAATGGGGTATTTGGGCAGCAAGGAATCTATTTGAAGGAAACATAGATAACGAAAGAGTTGTTGCAGATTTAGAGCTTCAGGGGACCTTAAATGTTCCTGAACTTGCTCCGCTTGGTCTTCGAGTAGAAGTAGACCCCAGAACTCATTGTGCCAAGCTCGTAAACTAACGATTAGACCGGAATCTCGGATCAGTGATTGCTACCCTATTGATCATTTGATTGTATCTTGCTTATATTTGTATTTTTGAATTATGTATTTTATACTCAGTAGTGATGTTATGCTATTACTCAAGTAAAAGCCCTCATTTTGAGAAGAGAGGGGAAGGCATACATTATTTATGGGGAAACATCAAATTCTCAATATCAAATGTAATCTAGGAGTATAATGTCGTCCTAAATTGAAACAATTATTGACACGCTTGACAAATAATTTTAGAATGATACGTTCATTGTCATATTAATATTAATGTTTGATAATGTCAAATTATTACCTTGAGTTTGTACTTTTTAACGAATTAATTAAGTTTGTGAAGTATGGTAATCAAGAAATCAACCGGTTATCCTGTTAATCATCTGCGTGGATGTCCCAATTAAACACTTTTTCCCCTTTTCCTTTTACATTTGGCCTTTTAGCCTGGATATTACTAAAAAACAGGATAAAAAATAAAAAAGTGGTATTTTTTTAAACATCACAATTAACCCCAGTTGTGCAAAGTGACTCTACTCAAAGTGACTCCGTCGCCATAGTGACTACCCATCGACCACTGTGACACGTCGTCTTCGGTGTCACAGCCCATCCCTCCCCCGCTGCTCACAGCCCCCTCAACCAACTCCGTCCTAGGACTGCCGCTGACCATTAAAGCTGACCGACGCAGTCGATCGCCGCCCCATCCTCGGTTTGACTCCCCAGCCCCCTCCTTAGCCCCCAACCAAGTCCCCAACCCCCTCCTATCCCCCAGCCACCTTCCCATCCCTCAAGCCCCCTCCCCAACCAACATCCCAAACCCCATCTCCCCTGCCCCTGTCACTCAAATCCAAGGACCACGTCTGCCCTGTTACAACCCCATTTCCAAAATCCTTCACATACAGCTAGCCCCAACCCCTCCCCTCCCCTATCACAACCCCATCCCTAACACCCTTCACAGCTAGGCCCAACCCCTCCCCTCCCCAGACCCATCCCAACACCATTCACAGCGGCCAGCTACCTATTCAGCCCACCTTCCAGACCCTAGCCCCTAGCCCCCTCCCCAACCGCCGCACCATCACCTGGAACCCTAGCCCCTTCCCCAAATCGCAGTCGTAATCCATCCAGTACGGCAGACCCGGTATCGACAACCCTAATTCACAATCGCCATCCATCCAGGCAGCGGATCCAGCACCGGCGGTCATCTGGACGACAGAGAAGTTAGTAGAGGCGCAACCCTTCGACCATCGACCAACGAAGGTGCGGGCATCAGACATCAACCAGCGGAGGCGCGGTGGAGAAGAAATGAGAAGAAGCAGAAGTCGGTGAAAACCAGAGCGGTGGCGAGGATCCGTTTGCGGAGGCGATGGTGACGGCCTGGGAGGTCTTCTCTCATGGCGAAGATATTCATCTGCGGAGGAATTTGTTCCAACGGTGCATAAGTTCTTCATGTGCGAAGGAGAAACGAAAGGTCTCAGTCACATTTTGGTCAAAAACAAATTTGATCATATTTCTGTCCACCGAAAGTTGGGGACTAATGTTTGTGCCATTCTTTTCTCTAGGTCGTCTAATGATCACATGGAAATAATGTCCTTCAAAAATCAAAATGTAGCAAATAGACATTCCTCTCTGCTTGACCCACAAATATATGAAATATGTAATAGTAAATCTATTATTAAATGATTTTAGATAAATTCTATTACTTCGTATTAAATAATTGTAACATGTTGAATTTTATACTATTCACATTTTGTATTTTGACTATATTTTGTGTATTAATGTATTAGATATTTCTTTTTAAAAAATATTATTAATTTATTTTTATTATAGAATTTCAAATTCAATTATTAATTTTTTTACTATATGGAATTAAATAAATTAAAGGTCAAATTTATGGATTGAGAAATGGAATGATTACCATTAAAAAATGAAGTACTTCCTTCGTTCCCAAAAATACTTCCCAGTTTCTTTTTTGGGTTGTTCCAAAAAATACTTCCAACTTTCCTATTTTGGACAATTTGTGTGGCTCACATTCATTTTACCTTTTTCTTACACAACCACAACCATATATTTTCACTTTATTCCACTTTCTTAATAAGCGTGCCAAGTCAAATCGGGAAGAATTTTTAGGAACGGAAGGAGTATATTGCAAAATGAACAAGTTAACCTAGGTATAGAACTATAGATGGGGCAAGCAATGAGGCGGAAGAATATATATATATATATATATATATATATATATATATATATATATATATATATATATATATATATATATACATACACACACACACACATATATATATACATATACATATACATATACATACATATACATATACATATACATACACATATACATACATAGATACATATATATACATACATAGATACATATATATATATACATACATAGATACATATATATATATATACATACATAGATACATATATATATATACATACATAGATATATATATATATGTACATATATATATATATATACATATATATATATATATATACACATATATATATATATATATGTATATATATATATATATATATGAGCCGAGGATCAAACGAAGTCTTTGATGAAAGTAAGAATGGCAGCAGCTGTTCGGGAATCAACCATGTCGATTCCATGGAAGCCCACACCATCGAACCGGGCATCCACCGACACTCCTCTCATCACCAACATCTGCACGAACTCCTGCTGCCGGTCGATCAGCGGGTCGCCCCCGAACCCGATCACCAACAACCGCCTCAGCTTCTCGGCCGCTCCCGAACCCCCCACCATCGGGTTACAGAACCGGTGGTCCCGGTCCGCCCCCTTCGGCAGCGCCATTTCCCACTGCATATCCATCACCGGCAAAGGCAAGTACTCGTCCGCCGCGAGCTTCATCTCCGACTCCGTCCGCTTCTTCCCGCCGAACAGTGGCTGGTTCAGTATCACCCCTGCCACGTTCAGCGGCCCCATCTCGCGTTCCGCCGCGAGCAACGCCACGTTGTACGCCACATTCGCCCCGGAGCTCACCCCATAGAGGTAGCACCGCGAGAAGTCGCCGAAGATCCTCAGCCACGAGTCCCCGCGCGCCGCCGTGGCTTGCTCTCGCACCCACATCACCGCCTCCATGGCGTCTTCGTATTGCGCCGGCAGGCGGCTCTCCGGCGCCAGGCGGTATTCCACGGCCACCACAATGGCCGGAGTCTCGCTGCACAGCAGGTTACAGCTCTCGTGTATCATGGTGTCGGCGACGGAGAACAGAATCCAGCCGCCGGGCCGGAAGTAGAATATGATCGGAAGCTTCGCGATTGCTTTGTCATTGGATGGGATTCGTGTGGGGAGGAAGATCCGGATCCATGTATTCTTTTTCTCGTCGAGGATGACGTCTTTGCTGACGGCGGCTTGACCCTTGATGACAGCCGGCGGGTTTTCGCCGGTCGCCGGGGTGGATGGAAGGTGGACGAAGCGAGTGAGGGAGCCGTCGTTGTTTAGGGAAACCTTGAGGTGTTCGTAAGGATCAAACTTCGACATGCTCGATCTAGCAGCATCCATAGATGAACTGATCATTTAATTTCCTTCTCAAATCTTAATTAATTAATTAATTAAAATGTTAATGTACATTTAATTAGGAATACTATATAGTAACAATAGTAATATTAATGTCTGAGGACTATAAACATTTAAATGTTCACTGGCTAGGCTTATTTTACGGATGCTCAAAATTTGGTGCATATGGGAATTAATAAGTGGGTGCAAATAATGTAAGGAAAGGATTTTTGTTTCAATTAGTGGGATTAGATTAAGATAATTAGTTTCGGCGCTCCTCATTATCTGTTTTTTCTAGAGAAGTCAATGTCTTGCTGCATAAAATCTAATGCTTGCGTACATACATTGTATGACCGATAAAAAGCCTTTTATTGGCAAATTTTATGCTCGTAAGAGGATGCTTACATATTTGATTAATGTTTATACATTTCAAAATTTACACATCAAACATAAAAGTTCGAGATAATGAACCGAGCTATAAATAATAAATTGAATACAAACATATTATGGTTGGTGTTGGGATATTGACCCGGAGGCTCAATACCCGGATTAAAAAGGCCCAGGATACCCGGCCCAAACAACGAATCCATTACCCTATGATGAGTAGGTCCAGTGAAGAATCCATACCGAACGGGGTTCGGTCCGAGTAAAGGTCGGCCCAGAAAGAAGAGATACCGAACGGAGTTCGAACCATATATCATACTTGGGCCAATTTGATAGCGTCATCCGCGTGGTCCAGCATCCCGTTCGAGCAACGGGCAATCAACAAGTGGCCAGGTGCAATTAATGTCAGATTGTGACATCAGCAAGTGGAAGCATGGGTGATCAAGTCGGTGGAACAACGGCCAATCAGCATAGAGCAACCCATGCTTTCCATTAGTATAAATAGAAGGTTTAATATCATTGTAAGGGTTAGCATTTCGATACTCAAGCTCTAGAATAGCATTATTACTCTTGTTTCATGTATTAAAAGCACTGTTCCGACCTACCGATCGGGAAGTTTCCTTGTAATCAGACAGGTTAAGTAATACAAGTGGGCTTTTGGGTATTAGTGAATTCATCTTTTATATTTTGTTATACACTTTGATTCTGATCCATTCCTCATATATCCAAAGTTCGTGTTGGGCTTTCGGATCTACGGGACTTACCTTCAACATTGGCGCCATCTGTGGGAAACTGTTCAAAAAGTTTCACATTCAATTATTCCAAAACAAATATTTTTGAAAATGGTCAGAATCAATTCTTATCACACAAATGATGGTTCGCGCCGTCACAGAAGGAGTCACACCCCGAGAAATCAAACCCCTCAGGGACAATCCAGCCGAGGATCATATCCTCATTTTGATGGGGACATTGTGATTCCTGAAGCCCTAAGGAGGAATCCTCAGGCCATGCGAGATATGGCCCAGGTCATGCAACACATGGCAAACGAGGAAGAATGAGGATCCAATTTTACAGGGGAAACTCCCCACACAGAAACGACCACGGCGTCATCCCACTCACGGGCCCATCGAGATAATCGCCGTGGCGCTCCAACAACAGCGCATCATATTCCCAGTGACCGGACCCCGATCGGGTCACAAGCCAGGTGACCTACTCCTATTGGTCGACATTTCCAGCATGACGAACAGAATAATACTAGGGCCACTCAAAGGCACCGGGATCGGGAGTATACAGATTTGAGGACTCCACCACCGCCCCCTTTGACGGCCCAGGAGGAAGAAATGGCTGAAATGAGGAGGCAGATGAATGAGATGAGAGATCAGATGAATAGGGCGCCCGTACAGCCTGCTCCAATTCAGCTAGGGATTAATTCCCCCTTCACTAGGGAAATTATGTATGCGGATATCCAGGGAGGTGCCAAACCACCGACCGGTCAGATTTATGATGGGGTAGGCGATCTTCATGTGCATTTAAGGAGTTATTAAGGAGGTTTCATGCTACTAGGAGCACCTGAGGCTGCTATCTGCCGATTGTTCTTCAGTACGCTCAGAGGACCCGCTCAAGAGTGGTTCGGGACCCTGCAACCTGGGTCGATCAACAGTTTCGCCGAATTATCAACGTTGTTTTTGGCCCAATTTGCTTCCAGTGCCAACCCAAAACGGCACTTCATCTACATTACTAGCGTGAAGCAGAACTCCAAGGAAACCCTCAATCAATTCTTGAAAAGATGGAGGGACGAAACTCTGACGGTCGGAAATATGACGGATGATACCGCCATCACCCTATTCACAAACGCTCTCCGAACGGGAGAATTATACAAGGATTTGAAGAAGAATCCAGGTACGGCGTATGCCGAGGTGTTAGACAGAGCTCGCAAGCATGCTGCCCTGGAAGAAGAGATCATGATCAGGGACAAGGTCGTTGCGCCTACTGCCCCCCAATCAAGATGGCCGATCGGCTGGGTCCTACCCCAGTGACCGCTCTCTCTCCTAAGCAAGGGCTATTTACTCCCCTGGTCCTGTCCGTGGCAACCATTTATCAGAACGAGAAGGACAACATTCCCCTTCCGACTGATTCTTCACATTATATGGGAGCAGACGAGTCTGCTTTTTGTAAATATCATAACAGGAAAGGTCACGCCACCAATGCTTGTAGGGCATTACAAACGGTTATTGAGGACTTGATTCAGCGGGGTCATCTGGGCAAGTATGTAAGTAAAGACCCAAGTGCGGTAGACACTTTAAAACCGATCAGGAAACCCAACAGCTGGTGACAGGATGCCCAACGTGATGCCCAGCCCCAAAATGACGTATATATTCCTCCCAGGGATGAACCAGAGGGCTCGGGAGGCCCCGGAAAGAAACCTCGAATGGAGGTCAAAGTTATATTTGGGGGCGGGGAAACAGGGGATTGGAACGCCGAACGGAAAAGGTTCAAGCGAAGTCTTTATGTAGGATCCATCTCCACTCCCCCCAGAAGAAAGGAAGGACAGACCCAATCACGTTCGGTCCGGCTGATTTACCCAACTCGCCAAGCCCGCACATGGATGAATTGGTGGTGAGCATGTGCATTGACAATGCTTTGATTCGCCGGGTACTGATCGATACGGGGAGCAATGTGAATGTATTGTATTTACAATCATTCAAGAAAATGGGCCTACAGAGAAGTCAATTGACCCACCTAAGAACCCCACTGGCGAGCTTCACCGGTAACTGTATTTAGGCTGAGGGGACCATCCAATTGTTAGTTTGAAATTGGGGACGAAACGCACAAGGCATCACTCCGACCATAAATTGGGGACGAAATGACGTTCGTGGTGGTAGACATAAAATGTGCCCATAATGCCATCTTGGGCCGACCAGGATTGGAAGATCTGGAGGCAATAGCCTCTGTCCGCCACTTGTGCATCAAATTCCCCACGGACACCGGGGTTGGGGTGGCCAGAACTGATACGGCGACAGCCCGAACGTGCTACCGAGAGGCCCTGAAGCAGATGAACACCCGTGGAATGCGGGTTAACAGTCTTGAGGTGGAGACCCACCGAACGGAGTTCGAGGCACATCCAGAACCTGCCACTCTCCTCGAGCAAATTGACCTGGATTTCCCTCCGAACCGGAAGGTAGCTATCGGGGTGGATCAGGAGGCTGACATTCGGGATGGCGTGATTGCTGTCCTAAAGAAGTTTCAGATATTATTCGCCCGAGGACCGGAAGATATGTCGGGCATTGACCCAGAGATAATCTGTCACAAGCTTGTCGTTCGGCCTGATGCAAAACCGGTCCAGCAAAAGAAACGATACCAAGCAACCGAACGACGGGATTTCACAAAGCAGGAAGTGGCCACCTTGCTGAGAATAAAACACATCCGTCCAGTAATCCATGTCGAATGGATATCCAATGTGGTCCTAGCTCCAAAACAATCGACTTGGAGGATGTGCGTGGATTACTCGGATCTGAATAAAGCTTGTCCATGGACCCTTATCCGGTGCCGATGATCGATCTGTTAGTAGATGAAACGGCCAAATGTGAATTGTTGAGCTTCATGGATGCATTCCGGGGATATCATCAGATTTTCATGCACCCAGATGATGCAGAGAAAACAACGTTCATTACTTCGGATGGTGTGTTTTGCTATATTGTCATGCCATTTGGATTAAAGAACGCAATGGCAACTTTTCAGAGGATGATCGGGATGCTTTTCAAAGAAGTGTTGGGAGTCACAATGGAGGCTTATGTTGATGATATCCTGATCAAAAGCCGGAAGAAGGAGATTCATATCCTGGACATAGAAAAGGTGTTCGGGATAATGCAGAAAGCTAACATGAGGCTGAATCCCAAAAAATGTGCTTTTGCTGTGAGAGGGGGCAAGTTTTTGGGATACATGATGAGCGAGAAGGGGATTGAGCCCAATCCTGAAAAGGTAAAGGCAATTGTGGATATGGAGGCTCCTAGAAATCTCAAGGAAGTGCAGAGATTGACCGGTCGGTTAGCAGCTCTGAGCAGATTCCTATCCAAGCTAGCCGATCGAGCTATTCCATTCTTCCAGATCATGAAAAAAGCCAACCCCTTTGAATGGACCGCCGAATGTCAAACGGCTTTTGAAGATTTCAAGGCATACCTATCTTCTCCCCTGGTCTTGACAAAACCCGATCCAGGGGAACACCTGTATATGTATCTCGCTGTAGCTGACCTGGCCATGAGCACGGTATTATTGAAAGAAGAAGATGGCATCCAGCGGCCGATCTATTTTGTAAGCAAGGCTTTGAACGGGCCGGAAACCAGGTACACCTTACTAGAGAAAACAGTACTGGCCCTGATAGCTGCTATTAAACGTCTAGCACTATATTTCCAGACCCATCCGGTAACTGTGTATACTACTCAGCCACTCGCCACCATCTTGAGAAACCCAATGGCAAGTGGGCGCATTACAAAGTGGAGTCCCCTGATCGGGCAATATGAGGTGGATTTCAAGCCTCGACCTACTATCAAAGGGCAGGCCATGGCGGATTTCATTGCAGAATGTACCGCTCAGCCCTCGGAAATAGATTCAGAGAACAATGTGCTGAATAACTGGTGGGAGATGTATGTGGATGGTGCAGCTAGTGCCACGAGTTGTGGAGCCGGAGCTGTGATCACATCGCCCGAAAGGTTCAAAGCATATTACTCCATTCATTTTGACTTCAAAGTAACCAACAATGAGGCTGAGTATGAGGCCCTTATTGCGGGTTTAAAATATGCAAAGACCCTGGGCGCCGATCGGTTAAAAGTCCGGTCGGATAGTCAATTGGTGGTAAATCAAGTAAATGGCACAGCTGAGGCTAAAGAGGAAAGAATGAAGGCTTACAAAGAGATAGTCGAGGAGCAGATAAACAAATCTGAACAGGTGGTGCTCGACCAAATATCCAGAATAGAAAATACCGAAG